TGGCCCCCCCTTCCTACGCCACTGGTGACTCAATGTTGGTAAAGCGTAAAAAATTGACGGAGCAGACTTCTAACAAAATACTTTAATTGAGTTATCTTAGATAGTGACCTTCATAATCAACAAGTTTATAATTTGCACTAACGCATTCTGTAGTTCAATGAGCCCACTTAACCGAGTAGCATCAACCAAAAACAAGATAGTTGAAGCGCAAGAGCACTCTTTGGTGCAATGAGTCTACTTGATGGAGCAGTTTACCATCAATTTTGTCTCGGTGACCAGATTTGTAATAGCTAGTGGCAACTAATTGAAAATGATTGATTTCCCTAAAGACGTTGTGGACAATACAATGCCGTTGGTTATTCTATCAATTTTTTCATGTACACGGCACCAACTTTTAATTCAAAACCAAGATGGTTAATGGTTATCCGCGCACAGTCATTTTTTTCCGTGCTCCTCCGGACCCCCCTTTAAAGCGAGAAGGATTCCCCGAACTCTTGTCTGGAGCGAACAGGACCCCACTGCCCCCCTTGATGAGGTACCTTGAGAGCCTTCTACCCCCCCCCCTTCCCGGCCGAAAAGTTCTTATTCGGCCCATGGGGACTGCCTACCCGGTGTATAAGATATTATAGATCGGGTTGTNAAACCGCCGCGCGTGTCATAAAATGCCAAACGGTTCCCAGATGGTTCCCACGTTCCGGCGAACAAGGAACTCGGAATGGCCCGTTCATGGATTGACTTCATCGGCGCTCCAGTATACATTGGGACTCTATTGTACTCTATGGCTGAAATGTATAAATATTCAACGTACCTTAATTGCATGTTTGGGTGAAACATCGATCACATCCGGGACAATTTTGTGATCTGTCACCAACTGTTTGATTGTATCGGGTTCTAATTTACCTACTTTGATTTCCGGGCGGGAAGTTCCCTCCAAGCGGTGAAAAAGAAGTGAAATGCATAAGATTCCAGAAAGCATGTTTTCTAAATTAAAAAAGGTTTAGAGCAGGCGAATGAGTATCTTATCTGTTCGAATGCTAGAAACGTTGCCGAAAAAAGGAGGAAAAAATGGAAAAAATCGTTCAATTTTGAACCATACCAGTGTCTTGGGAGCGGGAGTAAAGAGGTGCTGAATTCGAATTTTTGGGAGAATTTAGCCTTTAGACTCTACGAAATTTCCAATTAAGGTTCCCAGTGAGTGATATATTTTGTCGCCCCATCTTGCACATGTTATACGAGAAGAAGTCCCAAATATTCTGAATTACATCGGAATCAATAGAGTTGACCTAACGCGCGATTTTACCAGATAACTCGAAATGGCTGAAATATGGAAAAATGAATCACAAGACTAAAGAGTTGCCTTACCGTTGTCCATCAATGATGATTTTCACGTGTTTCTAGTGCGGACTATCGCGTTCTTATCTCTCTCTTTGATTGTGAGAGTTGAATTACTCCTGGCCTGAGAACAACTGTCGTCGCACTTGACGTTGACAATTTTTAGAATTTTTCTGTAATCAAAGGCTGAGCGTCTTATGCCCCCGTATGATTCATAAAGAATTTGATGACTATTTATTTTACAGTGTGCTGCCACTTTTCAAAGCTTGAAAACTACATGCCGTAAAATGATTTTTTATTGGCTGCAAAAATTTTAAGGATGTATTTAAAGTAATAAGTTGAAAGGCAATATGAGTTTTTTTTAAGAATGTATTTCGTCTTCATGTCACAGCGAAAAGAATGAAATTTAAAGCGCAATGTATAATCGCTTGTTCATCCGATAAAGATATTCAACCACAGTAATACACATTTGTCGAATAACTCAGGAAAGTTAAGCATGTCATTTTCATTTTCGTCTCCACAAAACTCTAACAATGAGGGTATGAGTGTAATCATGCTTCGGCTAAGCAGTAAAGAAAGAAACTACCCGATATGTAATCGGGTCACTCATTTCTGAAAACGCGTGTTTTAATTTTTTTTTTCAAAAACTAAAGTATTCTTTTGTAGCATGATGTTGCAAATTTTTATCATTTTTTTTTTGAAAAATGTTTACCAACATTTTTATAAAAGCTACGACATAGATTTTCATCCCCCAGAATCCAAGATCCAACTTAAATTAATGCCATAGAGGGCTAAATAAATAGTCTCAATGGAAGGACGTACATTTTTAATAGTCAGTAGTCAAGATGTTTGAGGCTCTTTGGTTGATTTTATGAATCCAGAAGTGAAAAAATTTCCAGCAACTGGTGCAGTTAAATTGTACTTTACCATGAATTCTGTCGTATTGTGGCACGATCGTCTGCTTTCGCAAGCCCTGAAAGAAAAACGAAGGATCACTCAAACGCACAATTTGGGGAGAAAAACGGAAGATACGTGCGATTATGTGCTGCGGAGGGGCAGATATCGAAGGATAGAATAAGTTCGTTGTCTATTCCATATTAACACAAGGAATATTTTTGTCTTCGACAGCCTGGCAAAAATAAAGGCCTGTGACTGTCAATATAGTTGCATTAGGATTTTGTCATTTTAAGAAATCGACTACAACTCCGTCGGGCAAAACGTACCTACCAATGGTAAAATAGAAAAAACACAAAAATTTTGGATTCCCGGCACCGCGTCGCAGATTCTTCTTCAACTTATTCTCCAAAAATGTAGAATTATCAACGTCATTTTCTAGTATGCTCCGTGAGCTTCCAATGGAAAATATTTTGCAAAAAAATTGAATGAAATGCACTGAGGCGTTTTTTTTTAGCAACAGGGGGCAGTCATACAGAAAAACAAAATTTTGTTAATTTTGTCTAAGTTTTTTTCTTTCTAATTCTACCCTCGTATAAACCCTTCGTAAAAAAAGAGACGACATTTGAATTGAATCGATGAATTACAGAAGGGCTCAAGCGCCAGAAATGAGAATTCGAGAAAAATGGGAATAACCGTTTTAATTGATCCCTTATAAATCTCGGAGCTCTAAAATATTAAAGCGATGAATTAATTAATCACATTATTGATTAATCTGCAATTTAAAACGGGTTGGTTCATACAGTTTCTACCGTTTTTTCGTATTTTTGTATCTGGCGCTCGAGCCCTTTTGTAACTGACCGATTCAATTGTGAGCTGGCACGTGTTTTGCCTTTGCAAGAGGTCCTAGGTAGTAGGTACTCATGAAATCGATTCCAATGATCTATTTCAGTTTTCTGTTGTATGGTATTTTGATGACTAGGAACCTTATCGAACGGGAAAAATCGAGCTTTCGAACGAGAGGGGTTCATCTACGCTGGTAGTATTTTTAAAAAAAATTCAGGTTATAGGACTCACAATACAAGTCAAATAGGGGCTTACTTCAAATACAAATCTTCGGGGTGGTGCAACCGGACTGCATGTTTCAATTAGGAGCTACAGTTTCTGACTATAATATTAGAAAAATCGTATGTGCTTTTAGTTTCCCTATGCAGACAGGTGATTTTATGAATGAGCCAGAAAAGGTAGTTCCTTATTAAAACATGCAGTCCAATTCTTCTTCGAATCATCACGCATTCATAATTGGTTCGTTTGTATTCACGCGGAAACTTTAGCAAAAATCCCCTTCAAGCTGAGTCTGTTCTTTTATTTGCTGAAGCTTCCTCCAACTGCAGTCCTAAGTATCAAAGCTGGCCCAAATAAACCTTTCAGCCCTGCTCCTAAAATCTTAGAAACCCTTGAACAGATAATTTGTCTTCTAAAACCTCCCAATTAAAATGGACTTATTTTTTAAAGAAGTGTAAGGCCTAAATGTTTGCAATGCTTACGTAGAGGCTAAGTGTTTCCCTTCGTATAGTACTCGCCCATCTAACTGCTCCATCAGTAAGAATACAATGCGATGCAAGCCTGTGAAAAAAAAATTATAATAAAATAAAAAATAATAAAATTGAATAATCTATTATCCAATTATAATAATTATCACTGTGGATTATTTTCCTATCGCCTCAAAGTTCTAGTATACTAGAAAATGTTTTCTCTGTATTTCGTCACCGACATTATACACTGTTTGCAAATTGTCTAAATAAAAGGACCAAATGGTTTTATAAAATATTTGAATGACGTAAAGAAAAAAAAATTAATACTTTTTAATGGAATGATGCAGGTACAACGTGTGCTGCCAAGTATCCTGCGAACTTTTACAGTTAAATAGTAAAAGTTGTGCGTCTCCGATAAAATAAAATTTGATGTGAGTTTTTCAGAGTCACAATATATCAAGAGTTTTACAGTCCCGTGCTTTTCATCTCTTAATTCCGCTACATTTGCCGCAAAAAACATAAAATTAAAGAGAGATAATTCAAATTTTTAGCCATAATCTGTGGCAAACGGTTTGAAACTGGTCTTCAAAATTAATTGAATACGGCTAGGCTGCATTTATTCTCTTACCTTCGTCTCAGTTTTGCCGAGCAACGAATATGCCAGCCTACGAATAGCAGTTTACCATTTTAACACATACTCCGTTACATTCATGCTTGAATGCAGGTATTACTTATGGACGTACCTGAATGTATATTCATTTCATCGGGTCCTACGTATACCATGACATCCTTTCCTTTAGCTCCAGGCCCTCCTAACAAATCTCCAAGAACCCAGTACCACCATTCTCTTCCCTCTGGCCTTTCTCGGGTCGGAAAGTCAAGTCCTGCACAATGTCATTAAAATAATCACCATTATTATATTTCTCTTTCGATGAAGCCATCCCATTGCCGTGTCACGCAAGAGAGCCGTAAGTACCATGGTTGAAAAATGTTCTTATGTGTTTTGAGACTCATTCCAGACAATACATATGCCTCTCTTCCGTAAAATGTCAGCATAGGTAAAATTATTTGCTGAGTGCACATACCGATGACTTACGCACTCGTGTAAACAATACGGAGAAAATCACACTCTGTACTTACAATCATAATAGTAGCTCGTAATACACAATGCCTGAGGCGCGAAGTACCTTGGAGGGTTGGACCGCGCAGCAATGAGGGAGTGTACCCCTTGGTCTATGAATTAAAATCTGATAGTATGGTAAGATTCACACCAAGATGAATTTGGTTTTAGAACTTCAAAAGTCACAATTTAAGAGTCACAGTGATGCTGAGGCTTAAGGAAGGATGAGAGGACAAACAAAACTCATCACAAGAAAAACATTTTCTCGACAGTTTCCTTGGTAATTTTTAAACCACCTAGTGTGACGAAAAAAAAAACAAGCAGAAAAATCCAACATGAATATGTTGGAAAAGCGTGCCGAATAACTAAAATGTTGGACACATACCTACTATTTTCACGTCTTTGTTATTTGCATCAATTGGTACTTTTTGCTAAATTTGGGAGAAAATATTGATTCATAAACGTTGAATGCAAATTGATTTTAAAGATTCCGTCCAATTATCTTTATTTTAAGCTGATATGCGGCATTTCGCACGACCGTGATTTGGGTGAACTGCCGTGCATCGAAATCGCGTTGAGTTAATCTCTTTGGATTTCGAACTGTAACTTCTCTCCTATTCGGCCGATTTTTACAAATGAGGTCTCTTTTTATTTGTACTTTAACGGAAAGTAAGGAAAAACTCGCTAAATAGACGGAAAACAATTTTTGTGAAAATTTGGTGGATCCTGGCGTCACGGTGAATGGTTAATCGGGCGTGGAAGATAATAGGTTCGACGAGGCGACCCTCTCCTCGCCGTCTTTTATTGCCTTGCTCGAAACCTGACACCCAAAGCTATATCGGGAGATAACTGCAGTGGTTTGAGTGGATTTCTGCAGGGGCCACGGTTAGTACATGGTATAAAGAGTCACGAGGCTCATCACAGATTGCACTTGCAGTGCAAGACGCTCATTGGCTAAACAGTTTTGGCGGGAAAGAAGGTTCTAGAGTTGAGTCCTCCGAGCGTAAGAAAGCTTCTATGAGGTTTTTGTCAAATGAAATAATACGGTTTTGACAGGAAAATGTTCTCAAGGGTTCCCAATTAGCAGTTCATTCGGTTTTTTGGTAAGAGACCATCAGGGCTTGACAGTATAATGGTTCAAAGACAAGAAAACGGGTCCGAGGAAAAAAATATTTGGACGGCCCGTTGAATAGCATTGGTTGATCGGTGTGCTGTACTATGGTACATCCGAGTGATTTCAAAAAGCGAGCCCTACTGGCACGCTTAATAAAAATAAAAATTCATTAGAGTCAAAAAAAATATTTGTTGCGCCAAGGAAGCAATTCATCACTTCTGGTTAACGTTTGGTTTTAATGACAAAGGCTTATACACACTGAAAAAAAATTCTCGGCGTTTTTACCAAGGTCCGTTGGTACCTTTACCATCTCACTTTTTTTACCAATTATTTTTCATTTTACCAAGACAGACTAGTAAGCTTACCTAAAAACCGGTATTTTTACTGTTTTTTTCAGGTAAGAATACCACTTTTATTGGTAATCAATTCCCGATTTGCCATTTTATTTCGGTAATTTTACCACAGTCGATAAAAAATATTGGCGTTTTTACCGGGGATCAGTAAAATTACCGAGAAAGTCAATAATTTTACCAATATTTCTCGGTAAAATTATCAATTTCATAAATGGTAATTTTACCAAGAAAAACTGGGATCAAATAGAACCCTGAATTCTTGGTAATTTTACCCTTTTCTTAGTAAATACACCGAGATTTTTTTTTTCAGTGCAGTTGTAGTTGAATAGTTAATATTTCATAAATTTTTCCCGTGACAAAGAAAAACCTAATTGGCAAATAAATTTATTTTTCCGACTTTAGGGCCACGTTATGTATTCGAATTCGAAGAAAACATAGTGCTTTCATGGAATGAGAAGATCAAATTAAGGATTAAAAAAGTGCAAAATTATCTGTAGAAACGTATTACCCGCCATAACGAGAACGTACATGCGATCTTTTTTGGCTTCGGCAAAATGTACTTTTGTCGGTCTTTGTTTCCATGCAGCGGGCTCAATGTAATTTCCGAAATCAACATAGTACTCCTTCTTAAAGGTCACCTATAAATAAAAAGGAAGAGGACTGCTGTACCTAAATTTTTGTTTTCAATTTGGAACATGGGCCTGAAAATTACCGTGAGATGCACCTCAATCGAAAAGGTCTTTCGGATATAAATCGAATATGCATTTCCTTTGATATTATTGGTGATCCTGAGGATTTTGTCTTTTAAGTATTGAAACAGAAACAGAATAAATTATGCATGATCAACAAACTTGAGATTAACTATATATGCGGTACAATAGTTGAATCCACAGTAGGTATCAGGCCAATGTCAAAGCAAATATAAGGCTTGAAATTAATGAATTGATTGAAAAGCGGTGACTGAGGTTGAAAGCTCTGATTGCAACGTTGCATATCTCCGCTCAATCTTCATTTTTCTAAAAAAACAAGGAAAAGAAAGCAAAACATTCTTTCCAAAATTCTCTTCTCACACTTCACAATATTCACCGGAAAAAAAACGATATTCTGATTGGATTAATCGATAGTTATTGTGATTTCTAAAGTTGTAAGATACTCCTCTGATGATTTTGAGTTACTTTCATATACATTCAGACTGACAGATTTTGTACTTTGGTGTTAATAGTCGACCCGACCCGAAAGCTCGATTTTTCTAAATGTGTTGCTGATTTGTTTAAATATGTCACTTATTTTTGTTTAGGTATTACGAACTGTTTCAATCTCATTTTCAACCTCTGACAATGACCTCCGCGCAAATATAATTGTTTAGTACCTTTTTTTATGTTCATGATTTTTATACAGCACACCTTCATGCGATATTTTGTCTTCTTATTTGGTTACTTTCTCCCTCTCCCTGTAAGGTCTAAAAGTATCCTCCCCTCCGAGTTGATCATAAATAATTTTTATTGATTGAAAATTACTTACCTCGAGGGTATATTTTGGTGCAACGGAAAGTAAGTCCGGAATTATTTTATGACTTTTGAAAGCAGTTTTAATTCCTTCAAAATTCCTTGGTGGCGGAGGCGGCGGCAATTTCACGCTAGATCTTGGCTCTGCCAATGTTACAATAGGCACTAATGAAAACAATTGAAAAAGCTTCCTACCCAATTGATTTAAGGGTGTCCGAGTATGCATTTTATCCTTACCACAAGAGTCAACGTGCAGTAACCTTTCCCACGTAAAAACCAACGCACTCTTCCTGTCATAAATAAGATTATTGTACACTGAAACTGTAGGTGTAATGAGACTTTACGTCTAAAAACCAAATGAAAGCAAAATAAAGTGGAACACCTTTCATGAAGTTGGTGGATCACGTTCACCGTGGCCTTATTTTGTAGTAATTGATGCTAAAATATAATATTTCCATGCCAGATTGACGTTTGTTCACGATTTGGAAGTATTTAATAAGCCTACAAATGATGTAACATCAAATCGTCTTTCATCTACGGTATTTAGTGACCCAGAATTGAACTCTCCCCATATCATTTGGAGTTATCATTAGCCAGTTATAATTGGCAATAGCTGATGTGGCTCGGTTCATTTCTGCTGAACGCGGTTCAACTAATACCAAAAATATTCTCCCCTCCCGTAGCGCGAATAAACTGACTCGCTTCATTTTCCAAAACACGCCCAAAATTCCGGGCATATATCACTCGCATTAAAAATTCGTACATTGCCTAGGTCAAGGCAGTGTCTGCATGATAGTTTAATTTGGGGGCACAATTTGACTGTCTACAACTAACATTAATAAATTCTCGACGAGGACCAAGTTCTTCGGTAAGAGTTTGACTAATTGGACTGCATTTTGCAATTTCGAACTATAAATTCTGGCTCTTCTGGAAAAACACTAATGTGCATAGAGAAACTAATGGCACATACGCTGTTTTTAAACCGGGCTAGAATTTATAGTTCCAAATTGCAAAATGTAGTCCAATTCATGATCGAGTATGCTTCCGTGCCAAGGAAAAACGCCGTATGAACCTTCATGCGTTGCTAAATTTCCCTCGAAAAAAAAAACACGAATTTTCGGCTTAACTTATGAATATTGTTCTTCTAATTTTCAGATAATTTTTCTCGCAATTTCAACAAATGTCCCTGAAAATTTCAAGGAAAAATATTCATAAATTTTCTCAGTAATAAACATTTCGTTGAGGGAAATTTGGCAACTCTCGAATGTTCATTCGGCGTTTTTCCTCAGCACGGCAGCATGGGCGTAGGATGTAAGAAGATTCGAGGGGGAGCTCAAAGAAAATCCTGAGTCTGAATCCTGAGAATATATTAATTCTCGCATTCAGGATTTGGAAATTAAGGTGATTCGATGGACGCCATATTTTGTGTCAGAACGGCATGCGATATATCGCATCAATTGGTTCCATTTTTTCAGCTACTCGTCATTTTTCTCCTATTTTGAGATCGCAATTCTGTCGTCAGGAGACTAAAGCACTCACTTACCAATTTTAACAAAGAAATTCAACATAATAAAGGTTTTTTTTTTTTTTTTTTTTT